CTCTTCCCCCAGCCTGTAGCGCTGCATGGGGTTGTTGTGACCCAAGTGCAGGACCCGGCACTTGGCCTTGTTGAATCTCATACAGTTGTCCTGGGCCCATCGATCCAGCCTGTCCAGGTCCCTCTGCAGAGCCTTCCTACCCTCGAGCAGATCAACACTCCTGCCCAACTTGGTGTCATCTGCAAACTGACTGATGCTTCCCTTTCTCTCCGCAGCCTGGAATAGTGTCTCCTTTCAAACGAGTCTTCCTGAAGGGCGAAAAAGGTCGGGATAAAAAAGCCCAGGAGAAGGTTACGGAGAGACGGCCTCTGCATACGGTGGTGGTGTCCCTGCCCGACCGCGTTGAACCAGACGTGCTGCTGAATGACTACATCGAGAAAGAAGTGAAGGTAACATCTGCCTGGCTGGGGCTGGGGCCTGTATATAACTATATGAAGCATTAGGATAACTTAAAGGCATGAGAGATCTTCCATACGTAGGTGTGTTTAGCAGCTTCTAAATAGGGGCTTGGGGCACCAGCCCTTCGCTCTGTGTTGATGGTGTCTCTCTTGCAGTAGCTGGCGTGTTTGGGGGCGTGCTTAGCGTGTACGTGATGTGGTAACGGTTTGGTTCTTTTTTTCCAGTATTTAGGTCAGCTCACATCCATCCCAGGGTACCTGAATCCCTCCAGCCGCACGGAAATCCTGCATTTGATCGATAATGCAAAGGTGAGCGCTCAGCCCGTTGAATCACCGGCTCCGTGTAGTCTCTATCTAACATGCAGCATGGAAAAAAGAAAAAGGCTTGTGGAGCTTCCTTGGGGCTAGGTGCTGGTCTAACTCGTGTCTTCCATCCATGGGAGGGAAGCCCGTTACCAGCCCCGTTACCAAAGGGGAAACAGTTCAGCAAATCAATGGAAATGCATTTATTTTAGAGAGCACACCAGCTCCCGGGGCAGCTGACCCAGGAACACGATGCTGTCATCAGTCTCTCTGCCTACAACATCAAGCTGGTGTGGAGGGATGGAGAAGATCTCATCCTCAGGGTCCCCATCCATGACATCGCATCCGTTTCCTACATCCGAGATGACTCCTCTCACTTGGTCGTGCTGAAAACAGGTAGGTTGTGGCCAGCACGGGCAGGCTGTAGCCTTGTGTTTTGGGGTTGTTGTGTGTTTTGGGGTTGTGGGGCTGAGCCCCCCAGCAGCCAGTATTGCCCTCGTGTAGGACGGCAGCCAACCTGACCAGAAAGGGGACAAAGGCGATGTTGGGTGAGAACAGACCAAAACAATCGGTGTCCTTCACAGAATCATAGAATCCTACAACAATTTGGGTGGGAAGGGACCTCTAAAGGCCATCTAGTCCAACCCCCTGCCATGGGCAGGGACATCTTCATCTCGATCAGGTTGCTCAGAGCCCCGTCCAACCTGACCTGGAATGTTTCCAGGGATGGGGCAGCCACCACCTCTCTGGGCAACCTGTGCCAGTGTCTCACCACCCTCAGTGTAAAAAAACTTTCTTCCTTCTATTTAATCTCCTGCCTGGAGTTGTTTCGGTTCATCCTTTTCTAGGGGGGCTGGAGGAGGGACTGGGTTTACGCGTGTTCCCCTGAGGGTGCTGTGACTCGCGGAAGGGTGAGCACGCTGGGAAGGATGAAGGCTGTTGGAGCTGGGCTGGGTTGTGTCTGGAGGTGAACTGTGGGCTCACGTACAGCTTAGAAATTCCTCCCGTAGCCTGTCCTCCGGCAACTGCCAAAGCCCAAATGAGAGCTGTCATTTACTGACTCTTAGGAAAGTTTGGGATCTTAAAGTGTAGTAGTTTATTCTGCGTTGCCCATCCTGCTCCAGTCTGTGGGGTCCTCTGTGGATGTCAGCAAGGAGGAAAAGCAAGGAGAGCAGGTAGAAGCAGCTCCTCCAGCCTGGTCCCTACGCGTGTGGGACCTGCCCGGCTCTTCACAACCCTTGTGCAGGTTTGCTGGGAGGATTTCATTGCTAAATGCCCGTGTGGAATAACGTAGGTGACACCAACCACTTCCGACACACCTCACTTCTTGTAATACCCGGGGAGGGCCTCGAATCTGCCCCCAGCAGCTCTGCGTGTGTCAAACCTGCGTGGTTTGGGGCTGGAGCGTTTGGGGAACGCTGAGCTACTTAGAGGATGTAATGACAGACTCTTATCGGATTATAAATGCCATGACAGCAAAGGACAGTCTATAGAATAAATAAGTGACTTAGAAGGCTGTGATTCTGCTGATGGATTTCTGAGGCTGGCTAAGCCATGGAAATGGAGCCAACGATTTACAGAGTTGTCAGAAACCAGCTCTAAATTATACGCTTTTCAGTCAAAGACTTTCATAGAATCATAGAATCGTTTAGGTTGGAAAAGACCTTTAAGATCATCAAGTCCAACCGTTAACCCAGCACTGCCAAGTCCACCACTAAACCATGTCCCTGAGCACCACATCTACACGTCTTTTAAACACCTCCAGGGATGGGGACTCCACCACTTCCCTGGGCAGCCTGGTCCAGTGCTTGACAACCCTTTCACTGAAGAAATTTTTCCTCACATCCAATCTAAACCTCCCCTGGCCCAACTTGAGGCCGTTTCCTCTCGTCCTGTCGCTTGTTCCTTGGGAGAAGAGACCGACCCCCACCTCGCTACAACCTCCTGTCAGGTGGCTGTAGAGAGCGATGAGGTCTCCCCTCAGCCTCCTTTTCTCCAGGCTGAACAACCCCAGCTCCCTCAGCCGCTCCTCATCACACTTGTTCTCCAGACCCCTCACCAGCTTCGTTGCCCTTCTTTGGACTTCGGCCCTGTGCAGTGCTCCGGTGCAGTCCCCAGGCTCCCAAGAGCTCCCTCCTCCAGGGCGTTTTCTCCCGGCTGTGGGATCCTCTGCCCTCCTGCTTCAGGGGCTTTGCTGTCCCCAGAGGCAGCCTGCTCGGAGGGCAGCTTGCCGTGCTTGGACTCCTTGCTGTTTTCTCCTTGCCTCGACCTTTCCATCACGACTTCTCTCTTTTCTCAGCTCAGGACCCCGGGATCTCCCCAAGCCAGAGTCTCTGCGCCGAGAGCTCCAAAGCCCTTACTTCAGGCTCGCTGTCTGAGAGCGGGGTGGTTCCCGTCGAAGCTTGTTGTTTGGTGGTCCTGGCTACGGAGAACAAAGTAAGACTCAAAAACACTCGATTAAGACTCTGTCCCACGTTGGGGTTGCCTCCAGAGTCACTCACCGGTTGCGACGACGCTGGGACTGGGATTGTTGGGAGGTTTTCTGGCCCTTAGACCCGGGTGGCCACAGCCTCTCAGGTTGATGGTGGCCCCAGGGTGGCCTCATCTTGCTCTCGCCAAGTGTCCCCTCTGTTATGTGACCAGATGTTTATCTGGCCATAGGTTGCGTGACACGCATAGGCCCAGTTTTAAGACTGCAGGGTGTGGGTTGGGCTTTGCTGGCGCACAAGGTGCTACCTGGAAGAGGAAACCTGGTCCCTGCCTCAGCCCCGAGCCCTGGTTTGGACACGAGAGGGTATCAAAAGACGGTTTTCCCTTGGTGGTGGTGCCTGCTGCCCAGAGCTTTCTCCAGTAGCAGGAAATCTGTGAAGACAACTGAATCTCTCCCACAATAGGATTTTGTTAACCGGGGCATTTTCCTGATGCTGACCTGGAAATTTGTTTCATCCGGTGTCTGGATCCAGAGATTCTGATCTCGGTCTGTGTGCTCGTACTTCTACAGCAGGAACCCTTTGCCTTCAGGGTGGAGTTTTGCTCGCCTTCTTTTCAGCTCTAACACTCTCTGGGGTGCCTGCACCTATTTGGGATGTAGGTTATGTAGCCAAAATCCCAGGGACCTGAGCTGAGGAGTAGGACGGAGCGTCGGCACAAAATCTGGGTGCTGTTTCATAGCTGTGAGTTGACAACGGAGCACCCGATCTCCTATTGCCTGGGTCTGGCCGGTTGAAGAGGGCCGGGGTGCTTCTCCGGCAGTACGGGAGGGTGATGAGGGGTGATACATCTCAGGAGTTCGTCTCCTCTGGCACCGAGGAAAAGCCCAGGGGACAGCAGGAGGTAGCTAACGAGATTCGAGGTTCGTCACCTCCAGCCCTGGCGACCCTGTGGGTCGAGCAGTGTCCTGGATCTTGGACGAGCGGGTTCCCTCTCCTCGCTGGGAGGGCAGCACCCTTACAAATACAGCACACCGCTGCCCCACGTGGCGTGCCCACCGTAGGGAGCCGAAGAGAAGGGCCACCGTGGTATCTTCTGCCTTGCACCAGCCCTTCTCATCTCCCTCCCCAGGTGACTGCCGAGGAGCTGTGCTCACTTCTCAGCCAAGTCTTCCAGATTGTTTACACTGAGTCCACGATAGACTTCTTGGACAGAGCAATATTTGATGGAGCGTCCACGCCGACACGGCACATGTCCTTACACAGTGGTAAGTCCGTGCTCTCCCTGTTTGCCTCTTTCTTATGGGGCCGGTCTGAGGGTCATAGAATCGTAGAAAGGTTTGGGTTGGAAGAGACCTTAAAGATCATTGTGCTGGTTTTGACTGGGATAGAGTTAATTTTCTTCACAGTAGCTAGTGTGGGGCTGTTTTGGATTTGTGCTGGAAACAGTGTTGATAACCCAGGGATGTTTTAGTTCCAGCCTAGGTGGTCTCTCCCCATCTTCACCACCGTCTGTCACCTCTCCTCCTGCCACCCTCCGAGGTCAGAGCCAGCCTGGCCCAGCCTGGCGGCTTCCCTCCTGCAGGGCATTGAAAACAAAACACCTCCTCTGCTTTAATTGCCTGTGAGTTGGAAGGGCACGAGGGCTATCTCCTGCCTGCAGATGTTTCCCCAGCTGGGCCGTGGGACATCAGCCATCGTCCTTGTCCCCCGTACCCTTTGCCTCTCTATTCACGTTGGACGGAGGCGCTTAATAAAACAATCCCTTTGCGGTTCTGCATCTCTGCTGAGTCTGTATCCAGTCCTGACACAGCACCGCTCAGCACCACCTCGGCCCCGGCCCCGCTGCCTCTCACCTTCCGGAAAGCCGAGTCAGAAATCGATGTGCGTGTAGGTCATGGATCGGGAAAAGCACCGAATTTCTGCCTCTTAAACTCCGTCTCTCGAATGTTTTCCTTGCAGATGACTCTTCTACGAAAGTGGATGTTAAGGAATCTTACGAAACGGAAGCAAGCACTTTGTAAGTGAAACGTGGTACACTGAGCTTGCTCGGCGCTCGGGCTTATTAGTGCAGCCTCGCTGCCAGGTTTAAAGCCCCCGGAGCAGAAACCGCTGCGGTCTGCACATTGAAAAGCTTCTGCTCAGCCTGGCTGAAACATTGGACGGTGTTTTTACTGTCCGCGTGCGGTGCCGTGGTCCCTGCCTCCGCAGCATCCGTGGCCGTATTGTTCTGCCGCCGCGGGTTTCCAGAGACGATCACGTACACAATGTATGTGCAGTCCCCCTGCGTCAGCAAAGCGGGGGTGTGACGCTTGCCGGGCCGCTTTGCTTTGGTGAAGTCCAGCTGGAATTGGGAGACATGTTTTCCCCAAACCCCTTTATTTTGGAAACTTTTTCCCGCCTGAATCGGTGACCGCTGAAAAAGTCGATCGTGTTTGTGGGCTGAAAACCTGACGCGCGAACCGGTTGTTTAAAATTGACTGATGCTATTTGAAAATTTCGCATTTAATGCCAAAATAAAGTGGTTTGAGACTTTTCCCCCCCCTGTTCCAAAATGAGAAAGCAGTTGGAGGGGGGGGTCTGTGCTCATGTAGGGATTCATTTTCAGCAGGTCACCAGACCAGTGTAGCTCAAGTCCTCCGTGCTGTGCGGGAGCCTTCAGACCCCCTCAGGAGCGGAAGGCTGCGAGCTTTACTGCAGGGAGAGCGCGTCTCCACGTGCCTCTCCACCCTTCCAGGCTCCCCCGTGCTGCAACGTGCCAGCAGCGGCGATGCAGAAGGTGCCCGAGGAGCTCTGGAGAACTCACGATCTGTTTGCATTTCAGTTCCTTTCCAGAAACCTTGGATGCAGGTGACAACTCCCCCTCTTCCTTCTCCACACAACAGTCTCCGCACATTAAGACAGTCAGCGAGAGCGAGCTGAGCACCACGGCGACAGAGCTGCTCCAGGACTATATGATGACGGTAGGGTGCCCCAGGGTCCCAGAGAAGGCTTGGAGGGGTTTTCTTCCCTTTAGGGTGCTCGAGTGCTCGTGGGATTTGGGTTCATTGCCTTGGCGTGTAGAACGTGAGCCCCTGCTGCTGTGGGAACATCCCGTCCTCCTCCTTTTCGTACAAATTGTGCTTGGAGGCTTCACGGGACCTGAACGTGGGCTCACATCCCTCTCCTGCAGGAGCGTCCCCACCCCCTTGCTCCCCCCTCGCCGCGTAAAGGCATCTCACGCCATCCACGGCACTCCAGGTCCGTCCCTTCAGGAGTCACGGTCCCCGTGTACGCCCACAGCTTGCCCCCATTTGAAAGCTGCCACCTCAGTCGTGGGTTGCACCAGCCTGCCCCGCTTTTCTGTCGGGATGAGCTGGTTCGTTACTGCAGCTCCTGTCAAACAGCAATAAATCTGGTAAACGCCGTTCCCATCATCTTCCTCCTAAAAAATGAGTGATGTTTGCGGTGCGCTTCTCTTCCGCAGCTCCGAACAAAACTCTCTTCCCAAGAGATCCAGCAGTTCGCAATGCTCCTGCACGAGTATCGCAACGGGGCTTCGATCCACGAATTCTGCATCAACTTGAAGCAGCTCTACGGGGACAGTAGAAAGTTCCTGCTCTTAGGTGAGTGTCCACTGCCAGGGATTCATCGTGGATGACCGACCGGAGGGTGAGAGCCGGCGTCGCTCTGCTCCCGAGCCCTCGCGACGTGCCTTGTACCGATCTCTGATGCACGGGCCTTCCACGTGGGCAGCCTGATGGGATGCGAGGGGGTAAAGGGGCGGGCGTGGACGGCACAAAGATGCCTTGGGGTGTCACCAAGCAAGGAGCAACATCTCAATCCGCCTCTCCTTTGGAGACACCTCTTTCCTGAGGGCAGCTGGGTCCATCTGGATCAGGCCCCCATCTCAGAGGCTTGAGTCATCCCTCGAGATGCTCACCTCTCCCTCCTGACTGCCTGGGTACCTCCTCCAGACCAGGCACCAGGCTCTTCCGTGCCTGCCGGTAAGTAAGAAGGCTCTGGTCCTTGGTCTGGGCCCTTCTGCTGTCGGCTGTGCCGTTCCTCCGGGCGTATCGAACCTGCATTCCCTGGAGAGGACTTTACAGTCCTGGAGAGAAGTTGCGCACCCTGGCAGGTGACAGGACCCTTTCGTTCCCCTTCGTTGAAAGGGGGCTGAGCGCCTCAGGGGCTCTTCAAGACCCTCCTGCTCGAACTCCTTGATTTGATTTTGGCTTTAATAATCTGAAAGAGCATCGGTAACGAGAGCCTGGGGGAGGGGGTTGGGGCAGGAGCACGCGGGCCTGACCTGGTGTCTCTGCTCTGGCCCCGGGGCAGGCAGGGTCTCGGCTGAGCGCTGAGCTGACCCACTCCACGCG